GTCGGATCATGCTGAAAGGAGATAACATTACTCTGCTACAAAGTGTCTCCAACTAGAAATGATCAATGAATTCATACAGGGAAGTGAGGCAGTGGCAATTATGATATGTAAAAAGGCAATTGTTTAAGTGGTTTGCCCTAGGAGTGTTTGTAAAACTTTTGTTCATATTGTTTTGACTACTCTTATGTTTTTACTGAAGGCCAATAAATGTAGAGTTGCTTTTATTAAAAAAAAAAAAAAAAAATGACCTGCCCAAGATTTTAGGGAAAATTGCTAGGCAACAATCGAGGATTTCTTCTCCTTCCCAGGCCCTAAAGTTATTAATAGATATTATAAAGCATAGAGCAAAAGATTTGGGACTCTACAGACATGACTCAGTTTTTTCAAAAAAATATTGTTCAGGGGGCTGGGAAGATAGGTCAGCAGCATAAGCGCCTGCCTAACAAGCACAAGGTCCTGAGTTTGATCCTCAGTACTACAGGAAAAAAAAAGGATTATTCAGGATGTAGCTCAAGGGCAGAGTGCTTGCACGTATGCACAAGGCCCTGGGTTTAATCCCCAGTACCATAAACACAGAAAAATTATTTTTCTGCTCAAGCTATCACTAAGTTGTATTAAGACCTTACCTGCATTAGTTTCTTTCTTTTTTTTTAATATTTGTGTGTGTGTGTATGTGTGTGTGTGTGTGTGTGTGTGGTCAGCTCAGCCCACCAGGGGGCAGGGCTGGCATGTGGTGCTGGGGGATTGAACCGCGGTCCCTGTGCTTTGCTAAGCTTGTTCTAAATAGGCGCTTTAGACCACTGAGCCATCTTACCAGCCCCTGCATTAGTTTCTTAGTACTCTACTGTTGAGCCCTTCTCCTTGAACTGTTCCAGACACATGAAGACCTATTGAGCTATTGCAAAGCTATGAAGAACTGGAGACCTCTGTCCATTCCCATCCTTAGAAGGGGCAGAAAGCTCAAGGAATGTACCTGATCATAAACTGTTTTTCCTGATGTTATCTACCCTCAAATAATTAGTTATAGCTTCCAATTACATCTTTTACTTTATTTGGAGCCTTAAGAAGGTGAGCAGCTTCTACTCTCTAACAGGTTACAGAGTAACTTGCATCACCCTCAAGAGCTATTATGGTGCATGCCTGTAAACGCAGCACTTGGAAGGCTGAGGCAGGAGAGTCATTGTGAGCTAGAGACCAGCTTGGGCTACAAGGTGAGCTCACAGCCAGCCTGAACTGCATAGGGAAACCCTGTCTCAAACACACACACACACACACACACACACACACACACACACACACTCATACACACAGCCCTATTGTAAGACATCGAAAGACTAAAGTGCATTGCACACCTTCCTTCACTCTTTAAGTTATAGCTTGGATACACGACTGTCCCTTGCTGGACCTGCCTACACCTTGCTCTGCCATGCTGTCCTCGTGACAGATGACCAATCCTACAGAATCATAGAGCAGGAAGCATCACGGTGTGCAGTGCAGCCAAGATTCTGCTGCCTAG